CATAAGTGTTTGATGATCTATTTTCAGTGTTCATTCACACGGACACGTAGTTCATTTAGAGGTGATCTTTCTGTGAGACAAAACGGAACATCATTTTTCAGAAATAGTCCATTTCAACGTGGTGTAAGATATTGGAACAAACTTGATGTTAAACTTACAGAGTGTAAATACTGTGGTTTCCTTCGCTGAAAAACCGACGAAAACAATAATTATACACATCTTATTCTGAGATTGAAATATAATTGTTATATAAGCTATTGTGTCTCACCGCTGTTGTCCTGTCCGCCGGCCGTTTCATGTCTTGAGTCTAAGTTGTCTTGTCCAAGAGAAAGGTACGAAGCGTTGCTTCACCATTTTCCTTCGTGTTGGAAGCATTCTCTTTTTTATGTTAAGCTTAAACACAATTGTTAACATTATCTGACTTATCTTTGTATTAAACGTAATTAAAATACACATGTAATCCTGTTATAAATGATGTCAGTATGGAAATAAATGTTGTTGATTGATTGGATTTTAGAGTTGTGATTAGTCCCTTGGCATTGAGTTGAAGGAAGTTTGACAAGGAAAATTTAACCTCCAAGGGCTTTATAATTATTATCAAAATTCATGTCAAACATTCCCTCATGCGTTAATTCCAACGTGGAAATTGTGATTATTCAGAAGAAAGTGAAACCGCCAATAAGTTGACCAGCGTCATTTTTCTGAATGCAAGGGATTTTCGAAGCGGCCGGTTTATTAGCGGCCGGTTGGAATCATATTTCTCAACAGAGATAATAATTGGAATGCACTGTTTTCACCTGTTTATTAGTTAGGATAATAAAGTACCACAATACTTTTTCTGGAATTAATCTACTTAAGAGATAACTTTGTCATTTCTCTGATGCTCGTGAATATTTACGACTCAACTATACCTATTCCCTTTACTGTATAGTATAGAGCCCTTTTGCAACGTCAGGAATGTTGGCTTCGTGAGAGTTAAGAAGTGAAAAAGAAAGGAAAGGGGATCAAAATCACCTAAATACCAATGACTTGAGCCCCTCAGTTTGCTGCTGCTTAGTGTCTACCCCCCCCCCCCAAATGTTGCCCCACCCCTGGTAAAAGAAATCCTGGCGGTGCCCATGGTCAGGGCCGTGTAGTTTTTGTCAACCAATGGATGGTAAACTGCGGCTGCTGTCGGCACAACAAAAGAATAATTTACAAGGGGTTGAACAAAATCCCACGCAGTAATTAAAACACTGAAAAATTGATACTTAATCACCCGCCCAAAGAGTTTATGCAAGTTGCGCCCTCTCGCGATAGCCCTGCGCTAAAGCTCCCGCGGTCACGGCCACGGTCATGTCAGAGATCAGAGGGCGAACACATGACCAACCACCCTTCAGCGCAGTGCCCGTCCAAAGCATCTTCTTGATGTGACGAGTCTTCCTGATTCGATTAAAATTTCCACCCCTTCCCTCTGAACCTGTAGTTGGATCGGTCTGCCGCTTTGCCGTGTTTCAGCGCGATGTTCCGGAGGCTGCCCAAGCATGGGACGGGTGCACCCTCACGTCAAACGACAGAACTCAGTCGAGATATGTCGACTACTTGCTGTACCCACAGCGCTCCGTGTGCCGGATAGCAAAGAACTGATCAAAATCATTTCATTGATTATGAGACTAACGTTTTTGGACAACATTAAAAGTACTAAACGCTTACATTTTACCGTGGCCCAGAATGTTTTAATTCCTTATTTTCATTGCCGCTACTTCCAATTTTCTTTTGAACACTTGAGCTGGATGGTTTGGCAAATTCCCTTACCCATCTCATATGAATTTGCTGTCTTGAATTTAAGGCATTTTCTGACTTTTCGTTGTCACCACTTTAACAAAGTAATATCTCTTTCTCATTTAAGACTTAAAACCATGGGGAAAATATCCGCAGTGGCTTGAAATCAAAATTATTATCTTGAATGTCACATTACAAAGATAAGGTGCTTTACTCCTATGTGACATCATTGTCGCCTTTGGAGATCACTGCAGTCTTCTCGGAAGTCACTTTTACTTCTGAATATCGATGTTGTGTTTTTATTTGATCCAATTTTAATTTGTTTTCCAACTTGAGGAATAAACCTCAGTGGGAACTTATAATAACCTTGAATCCTGCAAATGGCGACAGTAGCACAAAGGTTGGGGACTCGAGTGTGATTCCGGATCATCGTGCAAGCATCCCCAAGACGACCTTCATCAAGGAGTATCGACGACGACATGGAAAATCTGACTAGAGTTTATGAGAGTACAGGTTTTCCCAACCAGTGTCAACAAAAGGCGTTCACTTTTATTAGCATGCATTCAAATTCATGCTTTTTAAAATGTTGTTCAAAGTGGGGTTTCCTTTTCATTATCGCGTTCATTTTTGTTTTGTGCAAACGACAGCGCATGGTAATTCTCTTTCCTTCATCGTGATTATCCCCTTCCATCAGTTAAACTTTAACTGACTTTCACGAATTGGTCCGATCCACTTGAGATTTATCGAGGCTTTTGAATCTTTGTGGTGTTTTCGGTTTTGTTTATAGTCAGTCTATTTCAACGTTCAATTTAGAAATGGTCTTTTAGCCCCGGAGGGATACTATACTCCAGGCTACTCCACGATCACAAAATCACTGTCTGGATCAAAGAAAGTATCCTTTTCATCTTGAAACAGTCAGGCTCTCTTAGATTGACTTCCATCAGTGCAATTGAAATTCAGAAAAAATTAACAGGAAAACAATGTATGTTCTTGTTTCCTTGAGCATGTTATTCACAAGTCTTTTCTCTTTTTCTTTTCCAAGAAAATTCATTTTGATAAAGTGCAAAAATGAATGAGGAGTCACGCTTAAAGAGACGAATTTGAATGGAAAGATGCTGAAATTGCTGGTCGATTAGAGGTTTTGATCAATCTTCCCAAGGACCCCCCTTCGAATTTGAATTAAGGAAAAGACTATTTGAATGAACTTCTTTATCGAATGAAAGCTTGAAAACGAAATCGAATGAAACGTTTCATGTATGGATGTAGATATAAAGGCTCATTCATTTTAAAACGAAGTTGAATGGTCCACGCATTAAGTTAAATGATTTTTAAATGGAATTCACCGGGGAAACATTATAACACACTCAATGACCCCAAGTGGGCGTTTTTGGAGTTGTAACTTCCCCCTGAGGGGGCCTCGGGCATGTTATTTTTTTATAAATTAAAATCTCCAAACCCTTAGAAACATACTAGCATCTTCCTTGGAGCAGATACTTGTTTTAAGAACGCAACACATTTTGACATCTGTTTTGCCCCCCCCCCCCAACAAAAGTGGTCATCGTGCATTTTGACGGCAACGTATTATGGTTGAATAGGTTGAAAAAGTGGGTCACTTAACCGATGTTACTTTTTTGAAAAGAGAAGCAATCTTAAAATTGCAGCCCCTCTAGTCGATAAAGGTAACCATGTGGATTCCATGAAACCGTTGTCAACAAGTTGTCCCCTTGCCCTCCGACCCCTGACATCCCTAGTTCATCGTCAGGTCTCTTATAGAAGACACACCCTCCAGGAAAAGATCCTGCATATTGCTCCACCTGCCCGCAGCATCGTCCACCAATCGACTGTGGGCGGTTTCTGAGTATTGGCAAATAGCGACAGTACATTTCACGGAACTGATTCTATAGGACAGCTGCAGGCATTACACAATCTGTGTAGGGATCATGACGAATTATTTGTGACAAAGGGTAAAGAACTAAATCAAAGGCATAATTCCATATTACTGACAGTCCCGGTAGGAAAGAGCTGGTGAAGAAAAAAACCAACACTGATGAGCTTATCAGTCACCAACCAATTATCTTGATCGATTACCTTTATACTCCTTTGATTGATCGATGAATAACGAATTTAATTGATATCGATTATAGCTGTTAAGCGATTAACCCATCCGAATACCCATGTTATCAATCAATGGATTCATCTGTCCATCGATCTGTATTTTTTATTACTAATAATTTCAGTAATCTGCTTCCCTTTCAAAAAAAGAAAAGAAAAACATTTTAAAAGTGGCCTTTACACAACTTAGCAAAAATCAATTCTACCGGACTTGAGCCTGCTTACCCCCTCCAACAAAAATCAGGGAATTTGCAAAACGAAAAAGTAAAAGAAAAAAGTACATGACATAAATTTTTTTCACACTTTTTTAATTTATATTCAATGATCATCAGTGGACAAATAAAACCATGTTGTTTCCGAGTCGAAAAAATCGTACTTTTTATATTTATCTGAAGAGGTTTTTTATATTAATAAAATTTCCAACTTTTTCTTCTCTTCGCATCATTGAAGCATTAGAATGCAAGCTGACAATAAAATAAGAGGAATCAAAATAATGAGATGCAATAATTTCATTTTTAAAACCCTGAAGTCAAAATGCGGCTTTTCCAAATTTTATGCATATTCTTTAAATGCCATATATACTTTGTGATGAAATTTAGACAAAAATCCTAAAAAAGTACATGTTATTCTTTGGGCGAAACGTGCTGTAATTACACCATCGAATAATTTGCCTGAATTTGAACTGCGTTTGTTTTAGTGTGGGTTTTATGAATGATTCAATCATGGGCATTGTAATTTATACACTAACACACTTCTTGAACGGTGTTCAAAGGGTCTCAAAAATTCACTTTAAAAATTACTTCGGCAATATCAAGTCATCATGCCATGGTCCGTGAACAGAAGCAATAAAGAAAAACTGAAAAGCATTCAATATTTTTTCCTAAAAAAAACCCAACATGATGATGGCGGCATTTCACTTTACTTAAATGATCTGAAAGTTACAAGTGTAAAACTTTCTAGTTCATAAACATCGCCCATCGCAACACGACCCCGATATTCCGGGATCATACTTCGGCCATGCACTTGAACTTATTAGATTCGGTTGAAAAAAAGTTCAGATCATAACACACGTTTTATTCATTTCTTTTATTCAATTTCCACGCACTCAGCCACCAGGGTATGGAAAAAGGGAGAATATTGTAGTATGAGAGGTTTACCTACACCATTCTACCATTTTTAATCCACAAAGTGGGGGCAAGGGGTGCAAAGAGACCCCGATGGTCTGACCAAGTTCAGGTGTGGAGGTGTACCCTGGGTAATTGATCCTGGCAATCAGTCGTATTTAGTCAGCCGCCATTTTCAGTCTCGGTAACCCCAGCCTTTGTTCATAATTCAGCCGAAGTCCGTCGCTTCGCCGACATTCAGGGCGAAATATGTCAAGGCGGAAGCAGGACAACCCCCAACAACTCCGGAGATCCCTAGACGGTAAGTTTGGGCCCACTTTGGGCGATCATGTTTGACTTTTAGCGGCAGAGATTTGTGGCCGGTGGCTCGCCAACTGCCCAGTGAAATCAGAAAAGACCGAAGAAGTGGTATTGGACCATGCGTTTTTTTGAAGCCTAAGCCTACAACGCGCGGCAGTGGGCTGGTCAAGCGGTGTGGATGTGATGGCGTGTCTGTAGACCGCAGTGTCGCGCTCTGTGTCCAACACAGCCGTATCGAAACAAGCGCTCCTCAACGTCAAATTAGACACCTGCACTTCATTTTTTAAGGTTTCCTTGCCCCTGACAGTACGACTAGGCACCATTTAAGCCCCGAAAACCACGGGCAGTGCTGTTTCTTTGAAGTTTTGGGCCGTTTATCGGACTGTTTTCATTGGCCAAAGTCGCGTGTTTGTGTATGCTGGGTTAGCGTTGTGCGACGTTACCCGTCCCGGGCCCGAACTGCAACCCGCGCGGCGGGGCCGCTTTCTCTCTTTTAAATCTCCCATTTCGGGCGCTCTGAGAACCTCTTCCACATCCCAGAATACCTTATTTGATATTATGATGTCAAATTGTGAATCGCATTTGGGTTTATTTTCTCCCTTAGTGTGTTAGAGTTCATGACATTTTGTATTGACGGTGCGGCCAGGCTCTGTCGATCGCCATAGTGTGTTGAACAGTGCAGACATGCAAATCACTCGCATTGTGTCTAGCCGCTATTCTACACTTGACCCCTGCGTGTTCTTTTTGGCTGTGGATCTCATTAATATTTTACAGCTTCAACAGGGCACAGCCACTTAAATCTATTGTTTTATATTGTTTGCCACCCCCTGTTTGAAAGAGTGAGTTCTGAGGGCTTAGAAAATTTTACAGTCCTTGTAACAGTTGTAATCATCTTGTTGGCCACAACATCTGTGTTGCAGGACCTGTGTTTGTTTATCAGTCGGCCAGTAAGCTAGACGCCATTGTTAAGCAGTGATAATTTTTCTCAGACAGGACAGGCTATTTTTTCTAATGAATGCTGCACATGCAGACTGAGCCATCCATATCCTGGTACAAAAAGTGGCCTTTTGACCCCTAGCTGAGTGGAGGTAAAGCCACTGGGTGTTGGCCGAAAGCCATCATTATGCCTGGCACTCACTCCAATTGGCCCTCGGTCCCATTTGTGAATTTTGACACAGTTGTGTAAGGTTATGCAAAGCAATGTACAGTGTACACATACTTTGGCCCTGACCATGATGGGCTTGAATTGTAATGACCACTTGAGCCTTGAACAAACCTTGGTGCCTGGCTGGGGGGATAAAGTCATGGCCTGTGGCTTGTAGGTCAAGGAGGTGACCCATGGGAAATGACAAGGCTGAGTAAATAATTATGCAGACATGGCACAGCTAAGTTTATTTCTGTGATTTTGTGAACTTGAGATTGCTAATACTCTTATTAACTAACATGGTCACTGTGATTGCCAGTTTATTTTTGGAATATTGGATTCAGTCAAGCCTTACATGCTGGCACATACATATATTTTTTTCCTGAGGTTGTTAAGCCCGGTACATTGCTACCACAACATGCGTTGCTAGAGATACGTCAGTGTCCACCTCTTGCTGAAGAAGAGACAAGTGCTAAGTTTCAAATTGGATCGATCTTGGCTTGGCTAGCCCGAGTCCTTGTCTCAGGCCAGCCCAGACTTTATTCAACAGTCGCACGTTTTTAAAACCAACCTTATGCTTTAAAGATCAGGGCAGCAATAACTACAGAATTGGTCACTTCAAGCAAATGTCCTTTTATAATGACCATGGCAGCCAGACCTGTCCCAGTGGTCAAGTCTACTGTGCAAAATATAGAGCTGCCAGGTCAAAACTATTTTTAGCCAGCTCAGCTGACCATAACGTTATCCAAGTGTTACAAGAGGCATGTATTGAGCTGAATTAATTCAGGTAAGTGTCAGTGGCACTGACCATATGCTGACCTTTGGGGTCCATTTATTGGCCTTGCTGCAATGTACAGTACAGTACATGTAGGTGAACTGCTCTTGTATAGACCAAAACAGTGGGCCAACAAAGTAGATGCTGGTTGCTACAACATACAACTGTTCACTTACTGGCATGCACAAAAGACATGCACAAAAGACATGAATTACCTGCCATTATCCAGAAACTCAACAATTGTCACAGTTGAAATGTATTCATTTTCCCCTAAAATGATGAAGCAAACAAGTGATGTTTCTTTTTTTGCATGGGAAAAGGCAAATGTCCCCCAGAAGGGATTAAATGTGAAAATGTATACATGTGCATGTGTCTGTCATCAGTGATATTTTGTACACCAGTGTATTGCATTCAAAATCAGTAGAAAAAAATACATTCTTTCACATGGCTTTGGTGGTTTCTGTGCTTATGGTGGTATTAGTGAACTTGACCCCTGGAAAAAATGGGATCATTCAGTATACCAGCTAAAATGTGAATGTGTACAGTGTTCAGTTACTGTGAACCAGTCATGCTTGTACATAAAGGTGCATGCAAGTGTGTGGTGTACACGCACAATGTACTTTACATAATGTTGATCAATATCATGTATGTTGTGATAGGAAATGCAGCCTGTATGTTAATACACTGTACTTATTTTGTGTATTCTGCACATACATGGAACTTGTTTTGGCAAAGTTGCCTTTTCACCGATCAGGGTCAAAGAATTCAATGTACTGGTATTGGATAATTGCCTTGCCATAATTTGCTCAATCATGGCATGATTTACTCTAGTCTGACCTCAGCTTTCATAACCTTAAACACTTGTCACAGGTCCAAAAACAGCCCAGTGCCAAGGATGTAATAGCCCTAATTGGCCTCAGTTAAGGTCACCAGACTGACCACCTACACAGGGTGGACAATGAATGAGGCCTGACTGAAGTGCCTGTCCGCCCAACCACAATTACATAACACCACCACCTTGTTGACACAATGGGCCACAGTCTGCCTGAGTGTCCAACAAGGGACCTTGTCCTGAGCTGAGGTCAAGGGGCTGGACAGGAGATCCCCAGTTGTTTTGAGGACCCTGGGAAAAAGGAAATAATGACCAGGCTAAAAGAACTGGGTCATGGCTGATCACTGGTGATGTGTTGATTTTTAGGGCCTGGGACTAAACTGTACAGGACCATACCTAGTGTGGATAATGTACTGTACTGTACATATCTACATCTGGGTGTGTGCACTCATGGATGCAGAATAGTTTATATACATGTATGTACATGTATGTAGATGTACATTATGTGTATAGAAATTGTAAATGCTATTTGATTGCCCACATGTAGAGAGGTCTTGTTTTTCATGTAAGCAGTAACTAATCATGTTTATGGGAGTTTGTAAAACAAATTTTGAAATGCTTAAATTTGTTCCGTTGTAGAGCATCAGAATAAACTTTAAAACAAGTTGCCTCTTTGGAGTACAGTAAACTAGGTATGCCTTCGGCTAAGCCTCATGGAATTTTTGGAACTATTTAAAATTTTAATGTACCGCTACTGTGTATTACAGATGTTAGTCTCTTACGGTCACACGAAAACTGAAATATATTTGCAATTGTTGAGTGGACACAAACATTTCAAAAGCACAGCATGCGGCAACGTTTGTGTTTCCTTTTCCCCGTACTCCATACATCCTGTCCACAAATTACCTGAGTTCAAGTCTACCAGAAAAACTGGATCATGTTCACAGGCTGATTACACCGTTGTTTATTTGTCTCGCATTACAAATCAACTGCATTTATTTACGGAACCTGACTGGCTTTATTTATATTCAAGCCTATATCACCAAATATCCAAAGAATTTCTTTCAGTGTCATGTGCTCCTGTTTGTGTAGAAATTGCTGCTTAGTGTCGACAAAATTCAACATTTTGCCTTTGCCAAGTACAGTATTCTATGTCAGCGAACTGGTTTAAAAAAAGCAGTTAAAAAATTTTCAATTTTGAAAGCATTCTGTGCACTTACTGTTTAAATGATTATCTATACGCTTGTGTGGGCCTGAACATTCACATGAAAGATTTACCTCCAGAAATCAATATTTATGTCTATTGACACATGTAACAATTTTCCACAAAATGTTATGGAAGTATTGAAATATGAGAACAGTTCACTGGTTGTCTCTACACAAGCTGACTTGAAGCACCCAGGAAAAGCATGGAATGAGAGTTGTACCAAAATGGCCCTTTTCACTTTTTAGAAAAAAACTGCTCACATGATGTTTGATGGTGCCTGTTAAAATTTGAGTGTATCTCTAATTGAACATGTCTACTTCTTCTGGGTCATTGTGCATTTGTAGGGTAGTGTACCTAACAACATTTTTGTTCCTTAATAAAACATTCAATTTATGTATTATTACCTAAGTATTATAGCATTCTTAGTCACTTTGAGGTATAACATTATGCACCATATAAAATCCCTTTATTATTATTATGTTATGGAACCCATGTCAAAAGGTTAACCCTATTGAAGCATTTAATACTACTGGTACATGCTCTAAATCATAACTGTGTACCCACCCGGTACATGTGACTGAGTGTCTGAGCGGAAATGTTCTTTTATATGCTTGCACAACATATAAAAACAGTACTCAACGTTCAAACAAAATGTTATCCTAAAATAGATTTTTCCCCCCCTCCCACTTTTTCCCTTTTTTTTCTTTTTGCCAGTGAGACACAGATTTCACCCCAGCCCACTTTCGGGTCTTAGCCATGTGGCAAATTGTATTAAATTGGCTATGCCCCCCTACCGAGGACAAAGATCTGTAAGTAGAGTCAAGTGAAGCCAGTAATCATTCCTATGTACTGTAGTTAACTATGTTGGTAGTAATTAAGCATATTTTTATCCGAAGCCAGTGATGCAGTCAACATCTTAGTGTGCAAGCATTTGGGGAACCGGTTTTGCACCTAGATTTTTATAACCTATTGGAGTCATGGCGGTGAAGTAGCACTTCTGTGACCCGTGCTTGCCACTTCTGCGACCCGAGGTTCAAATTCTG